CACATTTCTGTATTAAACAGAATAAATATCACTTTCTTTTATGATGTGTTTTTTTTTTATTACTAATTTTTTAGTTTCTTGTATATAAATTGTATTCATTGTATATATTCATTGGGGTTTCATTTATAAATGGTGTTATTTTTTATCCCCCCTCCCCAGACAAATTGTACATATGGGAGCTTGTTAGGACTTCATAGAGACTCGAGGTATTATGGTGACTGTAGTAAGAATGGTAAGTAAAAAATATGTTGTTTTTGTCTAAGGGATACTATGGTATGTTTGGATCAGTAATCGTGGTTAGTCGTTTAAAATAAGACAGATTGAAATACCAGCCTCCCGCCTACTCTCGCTCTTTTGGCCTTGTGCCACCTTTTTGTATTATTCGAAACAAATATTGCATACCTTTATGATACCTAGACGTTATGAATTTAAGCGCAGTACTAGATTGGCAGCTAGGTCTCACCATTTTAGAGTTAAAATGGCAAGATGTAACCAAAAGTTCTATGCTAACGGTTTCTTCTACCGTAATCTCACTTGCGAAAATCTCTTCCGGCTTTTTGCTTTCCAGTCAGCTTTGATCTTCAAAAAATGTAAATGCTATGTCAATCGTTATCTTCTGTCGTCTTAATTCTTTTCTTTTATTGTCCTCTCTCCTTAATAATAGTTTTCTCATATTCTCTAACACGTAGTAATCCTTTGCGTCTTAGAGGCTTTATTGTCTTTCTTGAGGTGATATGGTTAAAAAATATTGACGTAATGTTTTAATTGTTTCTGTGGCTGCTGTCATAGTAATGGCCACTCGTATTCGAGGATAACCGTCTACTGGGGCGGTTAGCCAATCCCTATTGTAGACATGTGCTCAGGCACATTTGTATTTGTTCCAAACCCACAGAGCCAACCTGTGGTTTATACTGCAGCTATGCTGAGCAGACCTTAGTTACAGTTTCTGGGAAAGAACGTGTCATTTAGCGTGATCAACAATCAGATCAAGGCCAGCAAACCCTCGGTCAGGATGGCTTGTGACTTCGTGCTAGCACAGCTATCTTTTACCAATTTCACTCACAAGGTTTGGTTCAACCCGTGGGATGATTTTTAGACACTTTCCAGCTTCGCACGCTGGGATCTCCCCCCTCCGCCCAGACCGATAACATTAGGAAGTCTCCCTCCTGACAAACCGACGATGGTGAGATTCAAGTCTCATGGTCAGAAAGCGAAGGTTTAACAGCTCGGCCTCGTGCCTATTGTCATACTACACTCTACCAGGAACGTTAGCAGATTAGCCACCACATTAAACAGGTCCTCTTGACTTCAAATCTTTTTTTAAGCATTTCACCCCACGCATGGCGAGAATGCCACTAGTACGCAGGGTGGTACAGAGAGTGAAAGTAAGAGAAAAGATTGAGTATAGGAGGGGGGGATTGAGGAAAGGAAAAAAAAAGAAGAATGGGGATCAAGACATCAGAATATGACGATTGACGTTGCATTTAAATGTTTGAAGATTGTAGTGAACGGGAAAGCAAGAAAAAGGAATGATTTCCACTGTGGGAAAGTAGGAGAAAACAAACTGTTGGAGCAGAAGAGGCGGTTACATTTCACTGCATCATCAGTAAAAGGGTGGGACCTAAATGCCAATCTAGTATCGCGCTTAAATTCATACAGTCGAGGCACCAGTGAAATAGAGAAAATTCAATGAAAATATTTGTAGAAAAGACAGAGGGAAACCAAATCACGTCTGCGAGAAAGAGACCGGAGTCGAGATGCCAGGTCAGGACCGACCATATTGCATATCCATATTTGGATTTTGTTGATAACCTCAAGATGAACAGTGGTGGCGCCAGACCATATATGGCAATAGTATTCAATGCACGGACGAATGGTAGATTTGTTGATGTATAAGATAGACGAGAAAAACCTTCTGGCATGAGACAGAAAAGCGACTTTCCTTGCGGTAGATGAAGCTATTGATTCAATGTAGTCGTTCCACCTCAGGTCAGTGGAAAACGTGAGACCAAGAAGTGGGCGCTCTCGTGAAGTCAAGCATCAACCATGCTGATAAGGGGCAAGGAAGTTTCTCTATGGTAGTAAAATGAAAGCAGTGTCGTTATGGAGCCATTAAAGTTTACAGATCGTTTCCTGACCCAGTAAAGCACTGATTGGAGGTCCTTTTCGAGACCTGCGGTCAGGTTAATTTTGTCAGCATTGCCAGATTTGCTAGACAGGAGGAAATAGCAGTGTCCTCTGCGGACATGCCTACTAGAGAACTGATGACATCAGGAAGATCATTGATGAAGATCAGAAACAGTGAAAAATATTTTACAGATATGCTAAAGGCATTCGAATGAACTGCATCAAGAGTTGCTAGAGATTTTACGTCATAATTTATACGAATTATTTCATGTCTAAAAGCGGAGAGATACACATATAGCGCTTTTGAGCATTCATAGTTCTTAGCCGAAAGAAAAAAAAAACGATCGTTGATTAAAAAGACCAGCAGTGAATCAAAACCATTTATTCCCATGGACCATTTTCCAAGATAAACATTTCCAAAACAGAAAGAATGATTTGGAATTGGAATGAAAGTAATTATGGAAAGTGGTATCATCATAAAAATAGAGGATGTGGAATTAGTAAATACTAGCAGTAGAGCCCGGCGTTGCCCGGGGGTGTAACAGTAAGAGAAGTATCGACCATCATAAAGACTGAAAAATAAAATTGACAAAGATTATTGTTTAAGGTTGATGGACACGCATGTCTTAATTAGTTTTTTTTTTTTTTTTACGAATTGGTCAAACCCAAACTCAAACAAAAACATTGTTTTCAATCGTTATGAGTCTACCGATTGAATAGAATTTTATTATAAACAATTGTCTGTAAATGGAATTTTTAAAGCATTCTGAATGTAAAAATAAAGAAAAAAGTGTGCAAGACAATAAGAAACACTACCTGCCCCAAAAAAGTGATGTTTTGTTGAAATCAGTTGAAAAATGTAGGAAATCCGATCCCATATATAAACGAACACACACACACACACACACACACACACACACACACACACACACACACACACACACACACAACCTGGGTTTTATAATAAGTATAACTCGATATGAGTTGTCCCCTTTCATTCTAGCGACAGAATGATGTTTTATCGTGTTTTCAAATTGATTTCGTGCAATGACAATTGTGTTTTTCCAATTTTTGGCGCTGTCAGAACCACTGCAAGGTAATTTTAAGTAGTCCTGTGAAGTTTTGTTGAAATCGTTTGAAAAATGTAGGAAATCCGATTCAATATATAAAGGCACACACACACACACACACACACACACACACACACACACACACACACACACACACACACACACACACAATCTGCGTTTTATAATAAGTAAGATTAAACATATCAGATTTCATTAGGACGTTCAGAAATAGCAAATGAAATATAGGAGAAAAAGAAATTGAATATAGAATAGATTGCGCCAGAGGTAGTTTCGCCCAATACCGCAAATTGCTGCAGAACCGAAAGATTAACCTAGAAACTAGTCATGTTCTTAAGTAGCCTCGTCAGATCAAGGCTTTCATATGGACGTTATGCATGACACCAAACCCGTTCAGAAATAGCAAATGAAATATAGGAGAAAAAGAAATTGAATATAGAATAGATTGCGCCTGTGGTAGTTTCGCCCAATACCGCAAATTGCTGCAGAACTGAAACATTAACCTAGACATTAGAGTCATGTTCTTAAATAGCCTCGTCAGATTGAGGCTTTCATATGGACGTTATGCATGGCACCAAACCCGTTCAGAAATATCTAAAGTGTCAGCTGTATACAACCGCTTTCTACGAACAAAACTGTAGAAAGGCTTTGAGGTGTAAAGCCTATGGGTTTTGGCAAAGATCCTCCTGATTTTAACATTGTGAACTGGCCTACCGAATCGCAAAAAAAAAAAAGAACTCTACCAAGTAACAGATACTGCATTCTTTGAGGACTACCAGCAGCAGTAACAACTAAAATGGATAGAAAATATAACTCTAAGAGAAAAGTATGATACTCTCAAGATGTTGACATTCCACACCACTTCAAATGTTAATTTCGGAATGATACCCTCATTAAAAGGCCGATAACCGCTACTGGACTCGAGAAACTTGTTTACCTAAAATAATGTTTTAAAAATATATTTTATGAATTTCAACAGGAAACATTAGTGGCTGCGTGGTCAATGACTGCCAACTGTTTCCTCATAGGGAAACGGTTCATATTACCATAATCCACTACCATGCTGAGCTTCTCAGTTCATTCGACATTTACCTGCTCTTCAGTCATAGCTTCTTTTAAAACGAACAATGGCCTAATCACTTTGAAACACTGGTTCTTGTGCTATCGCCGGTTAAACAACGTTGAACCTGGTCAGTATCTAGATGGGTGACCGCTCGTGAATACCAGGTATTGTAAGATTAGATGTGCGGGTAGTGTAAAGGGCTTTCGTCCATAGCTAGTCGAAACCTTAGTTCTCATCCGATAACCAAAGTTAAGCAGCGTTGAACCTGGTCAATGGGTAACCACACGATAATACCAGGTCCTGTAAACTTAAATGTGCGGTTAATGTGTGGTTCCATCTATATCAAGTCAAAACATCGGTTCTCGATCGATAACCACAGTTAAGCAACGTTGAACCTGGTCAATGGGTAACCACATGATAATACCAGGTGCTGTAAACTTAAATATGCTGCTGTCTTCTGATAATATCTAGTCGAAACACTGGTTTTCTTAACCAAAGTTAAGCAACTTTGAACCGGGTCGTTGGGTGACCGCACACGAATACCAAGTGGTGTAAGCTTAGATGTGCGGCTAGTGTGTGGTTCCATCTATATCAAGTCAAAGCACCGGTTCTCGACCGATGACCAAAGTTAAGCAAAGTTGAATCTGGTCAGTACATAGATGGGTGATCGCTCGCGAATACCAGGAGCTGTGAGCTTAGAGGTGTGGGTGGTGTAAAGAGCTTCCGGCCAAATCAAGCCGAAACCCCGGTTCTCGTCCGATAACCGAAGTTAAGCAACGTTGAACGTGGCTAGTACCTTGAAGGGTGATCGCTCGGGAATCCAGGAATTGTCAGCTTGCATGTGCGGGTGGTATAAAGGGCTTTCGGCCATATCATGTCGAATCAACGGCTCTCCACCTATAACCAAAGTTAAGCAACATTGAATCTGGTCGGTGCTTAGATAGTCGAACTCCCGCGAATACCAGCTGCTTTAAGCTTGGATACTGGCATTTAAAGGGCTTACGAACATATCTCGAACCTATTCTCGTCCGGCCACCGAAGTTAAGCAACGTTGAACCTGGTCAGTACCTAGATGGTTGAATTCTCGCTAATAACAGCTGCTTTAAGTTTGGATTGTTAAAAGGGATTACGGACATATCACGTTGAAACACAGTTTCTTGCCCGACCACTGAAGTTAAGCAACGTTGAAACTGGTCAATACCGAAATGGGTGACTGCTCGGAAATACAAGGCGTTGTAAGTTTGCATGTGCGGGTCATGCAAAAATCTTATGGTCATGTCACGTTGAAACACCGGTTCTTGTCCGAAGATAAGCAACGCTGAACGTTGTCAGTTTCGAGAGGGGTGACCGCTCGAGAATAGCAGATGCTGTTAGTTTGGATGTGTGAATGGTCTAAGGGCTTATATGCATATTATGTTGAAACAGTTACTTGTTAAGCAACGTTGAGTCTGGTCAATACCTAAATGGGTGACAGCTTGGAATACCAAGTTTTGTGACCTTCTATGGGAGGATGATATGGTTTATGGTATCATGTTGAAACATCGCTCCTTGTACGATCACCGAAGTTAAGCAACGTTGAGCCTGGTCAGTACCTAGATGGGTAACCGCTCATGAATTCCTGTATCACGTTGAAATACCAGTTCTCACGTGGTCACCGAAGTTAAGCAACATCGAGCCTAGTCAGTAATTAAATGAGTGACTGCTTGTGAACACCAGGTGCTGCAGGATCGGTGGTGCAGTTGGATTGTTTTGTTTTGACAAGCTTGCTAACCATTACACCATATTGAAGTGCACTTTTTCTAAGCGTAGCTTAGACGTGACACAAGGCCAAAATATGGGGCACTCATTGAAGATCGAACTCACAACTTAGTCGTGATTATTCTCGTAAGACAAGCTTGTTAACCATTACAACCCGTTGAAGTGCCCCACTGTTGATGTAATGATTTCTAATTGGATATTATTTAGAAGAAAAGGTATAAAATTTCTAATGGTCAAAAAATATTTGAATGCCATTGCACTGAAGTTCAGCATATCAACACCTCAATGGGTTATTTAATGCCGACAAGATTTTTATTGCTTGTAATATTTTTTTTTTTCAAAATTGTATTGCTGGTAATAAAAAAGATCAATTTTTTTATTCCGTTTCAATATCGTCTGCAAATTTAAGTTTCATTTTTTTCTTCAAATAAGTTTCACAAAAAAATAAAGATTAAAAACATTATTTACTGAGTAAGATGGAAAAATAAATTCAACATGAAAAATTTTTCAGTAAAATATGCCGATGTTTCGCCAAAAAAAAAAAAAAATTTTTGGGGCTTACTTTTTTTTGTCTTTGCAAACTTGTTTATTTTCGACATTTTCTCGGCCTGCCGACAAGATGCTTTTTCTTCGGTAATCTTCTACAATCTTCGGTTGTTCTCAATAATCGCTGCTGATAATTTGCTCTGTGAGGTATGGTTTGGTTTGGTTCGGTTTGTTTTACGGCATATCAACCTCAATGGGTGATTTAATGCCGACAACATTTTTATTGCTGGTAATATTTTTTTTCCAAAAATCTTTTTCTGGCGATAACGTATTGGTCGTAATAATTCTTTTTTTGAAGATTTATTGCTGGTAATAATTTTAAAAAAATGTATTGCTCGTATCAAAACCTAGATTTACACATTTTGACCCCAGTTTGAGGGTTAACTTTGCACATAGCTGAGACCCTATCAGGTGCTACCACCCCTGGTCAAGGTGGACCTGGTTACTCCAGCAATTAAGATATGGTTTCACGTTCCTCAAAACCTCCTGATCAGAGGCCTTGCTGCCGGAGGTAGTTTATCGTCTTACTCAAGATGTTCCTAATAGATGCTACCACCCCCGTGTCAGGGTGGACCTGGGAACCCCAGCAATTAAGAGGTGGTTCCATGCTCCTCAAAACCTGATCAAAGGCCTTGCTGCCGGATGTAGTTTATCGTCATCCCTAGGAAGTGGTGCGTTTTGTATAATGCATAAAGGCTCGGAATTAGAAATCGTGTTCGTTTATTTTGTCATATTCACTTACGAGGAAATACCTTTGGGAAATGTATTACAGGTATATAAGTAGGACTTGTATCAGTAAATCATTATTAACTCCAAAATAGTTAGGGATTCATAGAGACTCCGAGGTATTACGGTGACTGTAGTAAGAATAGGAAGTAAGAATATGTTGTTTTGGTGTAAGGAATACTGCGGTATTTTTAGGTCAAGGATTGTGACGATATAAGTTTAATTATAAGACAGATGAAGACCAGCATTCCCCATCCCCACTATTGGCCTAATTGCTACATTATTTATAATTCTTACAAAAATAAATACCATTATCTCCAATAAATTTTTACAATCGAGAAATATTTTCTGGCTTTAAATAACTTGCCAAAGGAAGATAATCCGTAAAAAAACAAATCAATATAGTCCTGGGTCTGACGATAATCTAAAGGATGGTCCGAAAGTCTTGTCACCCGTATATAATGTAATTTTCTATTTTCACGCTCTGTGTGACATTATCAAGGAGAGAGTTTCACATGAACGATACCAGAATATCCATCATTTGAGTGACGCCGTTCGGAGAGCCTTTACAACAATAAACAAAAACACCATATCAAACGGTAGTTCCTGCAAAAAGGGATGCAAGTTTGAATTCTAGATTGAAATAAACAGAGCGTCTATTCAAATATGAGTATCCACATTGGAAGTAATAAAAATGTATAAAGAATTATTAATGTTAGAGGATATCTTTTCCAGTTCATATGTTTTGTTATAAAGTGTCACTGCCGACACTTGAGTTTGAACATAGATCGCCAGTGAGCAAACATAGGGGATGCCATTATTGAATTAAGTAGACCACGTCACAATAGAGGAAACGCATATATGTAGGAAGTAGCAGACGACAAACAATCTCTATTTCTAGCCTATCCTCTATACTATACGGACTGCTATTCTCTACTCTATTCACTATACTATTTCTTTATTCGGATCACTATACGGGTTACTATCCGAGCGAGGATTATCGAGCAAGTACAATTAGTGCGAGTGTTATTCGAAGGCATCTGACACCAGTATTGTTCAACGACGTTACTATAGTTGTATCTGCGATTACAAAGTCTCTACTACAACGAGCATTACGAAAGTGACAACGAATATTCGTTGGCATCACAAAAGGAGCAACGAGTGTTTGTTTCCATCAAAACATTTTTCCTTTAAAACACCAAATAAGCCAATTATATAATTTTAAAATTATTGTACAGGGTGGTCCGAAAGTCTTGTCGAACGATTATCCCCGTCAAAAATACAGACCTCACATCTTGTGCCAACGCTCTGTGGGGAGAGAAAGTTTCACATGAACGGTACTATCACCCCATAAATTCTGTCCGAATTTTAACTTTTTGTTAAAATGAACGAAATTTAAAGAGTATTTTATAATGTCTAATGGAGAAGAACACTATTTTTTATGTTTAGATGCATTTAAACTGATCAAATTTTATTTCAGAGAACAATAAAATTAAATTTTGTTTGATTAAAACCCTGCTAACATGGAAGTACCCAAGAATCATTTGAGGCACATAATGCTTTATGAGTTCAAGAAAGGAAACTCAGCAGCCGAAGCGGCTAGAAACATTCACTCAGTTTATGGAGAGGAATGAATGAATGAATGAAAGAACTTGCAGTAGATGATTTGCAAAATTCAGAGGTGGAGATTTCACCCTTGAAGATGAAGATCGAACCGGACGTCCAGTTGAGTTTGATGAAAAGTTTCTTGAAGCAGCCCTTGAAGAAAATCTTGCTTTTCAGAGGAATTGGCAGTGGTTCGCAGTTCAAACCATACAACTGTTCATCGTCATCTTCAACAACTTGGAAAAGTTCCTAAAGTTGGAAAATGGGTACCTCATGAATTGTCTGAAAACAACCTCAAATCCCGAGTTGACATCTACTCTTCTCTCCATTCTCGCCAACTTGTTTCACCTTTTTTGGATAGACTTGTGACTGGCGACGAAAAATGCATCTTTTATCGAAATGTTAAGCGTTGTAGACAGTGGCTTGGTAAAAGGGAAGGATCCCAGCCACAGCCGAGAAGGGAACTTCATGGGCAAAAGGTTCTTCCTTTCAATCTGGTGGGATCGCCAAGGAATAATCCACTTTGAATTCTAACCACCTAATGCTAATCCACTTTGAATTCTTACCACCTAATGCTAATTCACTTTGAATTCTTACCACCTAATGCTCAAATTAATACTCAAATATACTCTCAGCAATTAGAGCGTTTGAACCAAGCTTTGAGGAAAAAAGACCTGCTCCAGTGAATCGAAAAGAGGTGATGTTTCATCAGGACAATGCGCGACCCCACACAGCAAGAATCACGTCACAAAAGATCGAATAACTTGGTTGGAAGAAAATTCCTCATCCACCTTATTCTCCTGATCTTGCTCCTTCAGACTACCATTTGTTTAGTAGCTTACAGAATCATTTGATTTGTTGGATGGATGTTTCATTATATAGAGCAAGCATATCTCAAAGACCGTTATTAATCGATAGTCGTGTCACTGCTACATAATATAATTTTCTGTTTCAACATTCTGTCGAGTATTATCAAGGAGAGAGTTTTACATGAACGATACTAGAATACCTATCAATTGAAGAATGCCCTTCGAAGAGCCTTTGAAACAATCAACAAAGCATAGCTTCGTAAAATATCGCACAGGATATGGTGCCACATCATTTTGTGCCATGAAAATGATGGTGTTCATACAGACCTTCTTGATATATGAAAATGTCAATGAAAGTGAATATAAACTGCATCCAGTACATGTGCTTTGTAGTATTGTATTACATGTTCTTCTATTGCTTTTATTATTTTTTGGTAGCAGTTGACAAGACTTTCAGACCAGTCTGTATATACCTTATGTCAGGGAAAGACAAGACATATATTAATTTTGTTGTAACCAATTTGAAATACGTCTAAGACGGTTGGCTGGAAATTTCATATGGTGACCAAGATATAAATGTAAGTAGACACACCAGTTGATAGACTAAAAGACATGCAAGTAGACACACCAGTTGATGGACTAACAGACATACAGGTAGACACACCAGTTGATAGACTAAAAGATATGCAAGTAGACACACCAGTTGATGGACTAACAGACATACAGGTAGACACACCAGTTGATAGACTAAAAGATATGCAAGTAGACACACCAGTTGATAGACTAAAAGACATGCAAGTAGACACACCAGTTGATAGACTACAAGATATGCAAGTAGACACACCAGTTGATAGACTAAAAGATATGCAAGTAGACACACCAGTTGATAGACTAAAAGATATGCAAGTAGACACACCAGTTGATAGACTAAAAGACATACAGGTAGACACACCAGTTGATAGACTAAAAGACATGCAAGTAGACACACCAGTTGATAGACTAAAAGACATGAAAGTAGACACACCAGTTGATAGACTAAATTACATGCAAGTAGACACACCAGTTGATAGACTAAAAGACATGCAAGTAGACACACCAGTTGATAGACTAAAAGACATGCAAGTATACACACCAGTTGATAGACTAAAAGATACGCAAGTAGACACACCAGTTGATAGACTAAAAGACATGCAAGTATACACACCAGTTGATAGACTAAAAGACATGCAAGTAGACACACCAGTTGATGGACTAAAAAACATGCAAGTAGACACACCAGTTGATAGACTAAAAGACATACAGGTAGACACACCAGTTGATAGACTAAAAAACATGCAGGTAGACACACTAGTTGATAGACTAATTGACACGCATGTAGACACACCAGTTAATAGACTAAAAGACATGCAAGTAGATACACTAGTTGATAGACTAAAAGACATGCAAGTGGACCACCAATCTATGTATTGACCAGGCTCGACGTTGCTTAACTTCGATGATCGAACGAGAACCAGTGATTCAAAGTGATGTGGTTGTAAGCCATACCATCCATACATCCAAGGTTACAGCACTTGGTATTCACAGTGGTCACCTATTTAGTTACTGGCCGAACTCAATGTTGCTTAACTTCGCTGGTCGTACAAGGTGCGGTGTTTCAACATGATATAGCCGAAAACCATATCCCCCTCACATACAAGGTTGCAAAACTTGGTTTTCCAAACAGTCACCCATTTAGGTACTAAACAAGCATGAGGTTGCTTAACTTCGGTGATCGTACAAGAAACGGTTTTTCAACATTATATGGTCGTAAGAAGAAACCATCCACACATACAAAGTTACAGCACTTGGTATTCCCAAGCGGTCACCCGTCTCGTTAGTGATCAGGCTAGAGGTGGCTTAACTTCGATGACCTTACGAGAACCGACCTTTCAAGGTGATATGGTCGTAATCCATATCACCCACTCATCCAATGTTGCAACACTTGGTATTCCAAGCGGTCACCCATTGAGGTGCTGATCCGGCTTGATGTTGCTTAACTTCAGTGATCGTACAATAAGCGGTGTTTCAACGTAGTATCGCCGTAAGACATATCATCCGCACATACAGCGTTGCAGCCACCTAGTATTACAGCACTTGGTATTTCCAAGCTGTCACCCATCTAGACCACGGTCAACGTTTCTGAACCTGGTAATCGTAAAAGAAGAGTTGTCTCAACTTGATATGGCCGTAAGACATATCACCCAAATACCGAAGGTTACAACACTTTGCAGTCATACAAGAAGAAGTGTCTCAACGTGTAAACAATTGAAAGAGGAATATTATATCCGAGCTTATATAGTCCTGAAACAGCGCCACGTAACGGGCGCCATGGAATTTAATAAATTGGAGATAATCCCTACAATTTAAACACTTAAACTGTTTTCGTGATAGAAGTATTGTGGAAGGCAAAACTGGTCAAGTCTTCTGCCTACCGCCTTTCTAGAATTAAAAGAGAGAAAAAGAGAGAGAGAGAGAGAGAGAGAGAGAGAGAGAGATTTACTCTGAGCTTTTATCGTCCTGAAAAAGCTCGGGCGGCTTGGCAGACCAAGTAAAAACAATAAACACTTTTAGTGGTAAAAGACAACTCTGAAATGGAGACCTGCATAAGTCTTTTACGTACCGCATTCTAGAATGTAAACAATTGAAAGATGAAGGTTATGTTCGTGATATTATGTCCATGAAACAGCGCCACATAACGGGCGCCCTGGCAGACAAACTGCGGGTAATACCTACAAGATAAACAATTACGCAGTTTTAGTGATAAAAGAAACCTGGAAGGGAGAACTTCACAAGTCATTTACGTACCGGATTCTAGAATGTAAACAGTCGAAAGAGGAAGTTTATGACCGAAATTTTATAGTCCTAAAATAGCGCTACCTACCGCACAAGTTAAACAATTCCGCAGTTTTGGTGAGTGAAGCATTTTAACATACTTTACTATAAATAACTGTTAAAAAGTAAAACGGAAGACTATATAATGAAGTACAAGACCGATGAACACACACACACACACACATATATATATATATATATATATATATATATATATATATATATATATATATATATATATATATTATATGTGCATAAATATATATATACCCTAGGACGATATTGCATTTGTCAGATTGGCGATAGAAAACCAGTTTGTAAATAATTATTTTTCTTTCTCTTCGCTTTCATTCTTTTTTCTTCTCTTTCTCTCGCAGTCTTACATTTTCCCTTTCTTTTTTTTTTAAATACCCTCTCTCTTTACGATTCATTTTTCTTCCTCTTATTTTCTCACTAAACCCCGCTTCTCTTTATTCTACATCTATTTTCTACAAAGGACTGAATCCATTGCGTCCTGGGTATGACGATAAACTACATCCGCGTCCTGGGTATGACGATAAACTACGTCCGTGTCCTGGGCAAGACGATAAACTACATCCGCGTCCTGGGTATGACAATAAACTACATCCGCGTCCTGGGTATGACGATAAACTATGTCCAACAGGAAGGCCTCTGATAATGTTTTTGAAAAAATAATGTTGCCAGTTATATATTTTTGAAAAAAATAATACTACCAGCTATACGTTTTTGAAAATTAATATTACCGGCTATACATTTTTGAGAAAAAATATTAACAGAAATAGATTTTTGGCAAAGCAAAAATATTACCAGGAAAAAAAAAAGAAAAGTTGTCAGCAGTAAATGACCCATTGAGTTTGATATGCCGTAAAACAAACTAAACCAAAACCTAAATCCATTGCTACTTAAATATTTGTTACAAAATAAAAATCCTTCATTTTGCCTTGATAGATTCCATCATAGAACGAAACGCTAAGATAGGTTTTCTTCTGTTTTTATTCATCAGCCATGCTGATGGATGGCAAAGAGGGGTCTCTCCATTAATCCTCTGAGAGACCCCTCTTTACTATCTCCCAGGAAAGTGACACGTCGTGCCTTCTCAGGCTGGTCTACTCGACTGACATGAAGTTGATTCCATTGCTAGGTCAGCTGCTAAGAAAGTCGGTTCGCTGTGTCGAACGAGACAATTTCTCTCTGGAGTCTATCTATAAGTTTACCATTCGTCTATGCTTGGACTATTGCTGCCACATATGGTCCAGTGCCCCTGCTATTTGCCTTGGGCTCCTTTATAAAATCCAAAGCGTCCTGGGTAAGGCGATAAACTACACCCGCATCCTGGGTAAGACGATAAACTGCGTTTAACAGCAAGGCCTCTGAGGAGGTTTTGAGGAGCGTGTAACCGCCTCTTAATTGCTGGTGTTCCCAGGTCCACCCTGACCCGGGGTGGTAACACCTGTTAGGGTCCCAAATACGGGCAAATTGTTAACCCTCAAACTGGTGTTAAAACATGTAAGTGTAAAAATAGGTTTTAATACCAGCAATACATTTTTTGAAGGAAAAGTTATTACCAGCAATACATTCTTTAAGAAAATAAATATTACCGACAATACAGTTTTGAGGAAAATATTACTAGCAATACATTTTGAAGGAAAAAAAGTATTGCCAGCAATACATTTTTGAGGAAAATAACATTACCAGCAATACATTTTTGAAAAAAATATAAAAAAATCCTGACGGCATTAAATAACCTGTTGAGGTTGGTATGACGTAAAACAAAACAAACGAGACCAAAGAAGAATCAGCAATATAAGTGGTCCTGTTCTGGCGGTAAAAAAAAACGGTTTACGGCTGTATCACGTTGAAACATCGGTTCCAGTCACGATCGTCGAAGTTAAGCAATGGTCAGTACCTAAATGTGTGACCGGTTGGAAATACCATGTGCTTGGATGTGCGGGTGGTGTAATGGATAATGGCTCGGAATTGTTTGTCGGAGAGCCGAGTTCCAATTCCCGTTTCGCCATGTTCACTTGCGCGCCAAAACCTTGGGAAAGGTACGAATCCACATCTTCTCCCCTTAGCCATGGGTTAATTAGTAGCATTTGTAACAGTAAATAATTATTATCGCCGAAGAATTCCTTCAATTTAAAAATATTTTCTGGCTTTAAATGACCGGGAAAAGGGTTGATAAGCCGTAAAAACGAATTAATCAATCTCATTCTCTCTCTCTCTCAGTCTTACACATTAGCTTTCATTTTTTTATAACCCCCTCTCTCTTCGCTTCTGTTATTCGACCCTTCTTCTCTCTGTTTTTATATCTATTTTTTTCACTCACTTTTTGATCGCTTCGTATCTCCGATTTTTTTTTGTTTTCTCACTGTCTTTCCACTTAATCTCACTATTTTTCGTTTCCCCTCCGTCTTCAGTTCTACTCTCTCTTTTTTTTCGTATACGCCCACACTCAAATAAAACTCTCCACTTCCCTTTCATTTTGCCTTGTTTTTTTTGTTGTTTTTTTGTTTTCCTTCTTCGCCATATTTTCCCCTTTCTTGTCGATCTCACACACACGGACACAGAGACGATGTTTTGTGTTTACTGTTGATAACACAAATCCGGTAGGGAAGAACGAAAGCAGAGGGTCCAAAAAATGAAAGACGGGCAAGGCGGAGGGTCGTGGAGGTACCATTACACGGAATTAGGTCATTTAGTTGTCGAAGTGAAACGACGTTAGCAGCAGCAGCAGCAGCGAAAAAAAAAAATAAAAGAGTAACAAACAAATATGGAGAAAGAAATAAAAAATATCACAAGCAAAACTGTAAATTAGAAAAAGAAAGCTTCAAAATCTCAAAGAGATGATTCTATATTTAACTTTAGTCTTCGAATTAGAGCATGGGCGTAGGTTAGCGCCGGCGGAAGTGGTTGGTGTGTCACGCTAAATTCTGCACAGGGTAGCGGAAAGGAGTTGGATTTTTTTTTTTTCACAGCAAAGCGGGCATCAGTGATTTTCACACACATGCCAAAATATGCTACACTCACTTTTTAAACACAAACGCAGTATAAGTCAAATAATATATTTAAAAATCTGTCGGAACTGCTAGGTAACCTTGATATATTTGGGAAGGATATTAAAATAATCCAGAACTTGTTGCAAACCGCCTGCACACGAATAGAAAATGAATTCTGTAAATACACAAAGGGATGTAAGACAAGGATGTGTCGTCTCACCGGACCTATTCAATATATACAGTGAGACGATTCCAAGAGAATTTGAAGTACTAACAGGATTCATTATTAGCTGATTAGTTGATTTTGTTTAGCGGTATATCAACCTTTATGGATTATTTAATGCAGGAAAGGTGTTTTTAACAGAAGACGGAAAGTGCGACACTGAAATCCGAAGTTGCATTGTGATTGCTAAATATGCCTTCCAAAAGCTAAGCAGAAAAATAAGAAATTGAAATGTCTCACTATAAACAATGAAAAGAGTACTAAACTTCTATGTGATATCTGTCTTCTTGTTTGACAGTGAGCGCTGGACGATTTCCTCACTGATAAAGAGGAGAGCTGAAGCAACAGAAATGTAGCCCTACAGAAAGATGCTGAGGATACCGTGGAACAAACGACGAAGTTTTGGAGAATATAGAAACAAAAAGGAAACTAATATTTAACACCAGGAAGAGACGGTTGTGGTTTCTGGGACATATAAAGAGGGCTTGGAAAATTTGATACTCAGAGGGCACGAGAGACTGAGGAAGACAACGCATAACATGAGGATGTTGTGGAGAGCTATGATCGCCTACGTAGTGAGGGATACGACACATGCTCAATGTTAAGAGGGAAAAAGGAAAACAACGCATAATATACTTAGTGAGCTTGAGTAAATCGATGGCGGAACAGGGCTTAGGAGATAACAAAAAGAGAAAGTTTATTAAGAGTTACAATGGTGATGATGTTGTGGAGAGCTATGATCGCTTACAAGAAAAAGAATGGTGAAATTTAAATATTTTTTACTCGGTTATATGCCTTCAACTACAGATAAAATGTATTGTTGATCATTTTACTATAAATATAAATTATTGGTAATTTTTTTATATAAAAACATATTAATGGAAGTTTTATACTTCCATAGTGCTTTGTTTTTGTTTGAGGGCCCACTATTTGCGCAGAGTTGTGACCCTAAGAAGTGCTACCACCCCGG